ATATAAGATGCGATGCAATTTTATAAGCTCTCCAATATTTGCAACCGTGGTGTTATAACGCACACATTTTCACTTGTTCAATTCTCACGAATGCATCTTGTGCGCTGGGATACGTGGATATTTCAATAGGCACATGCGAACCTATCGGTTGTTTTTTTTTTCAAGCATTCATTTGGTTCACTTCCATATTCCAATACTTCCAGCACCTAATTTGCTTTAATCGCAAATTAATTGGTCAGTTTTAAAATCTCGCATATCCGTATTGATTTTATATAATGTTCCATAGGAAAGGTATAAAATTATATAATCCGAGCTGACGCTAAATGTGCAGATATTAAATGTGCGAAAATTAATATTAAACGCGAAAAGCTTCTATTTTTTATTTAAAAAGATAATTATTACCTCAATATCTCTTTCTCTTTCTCTCTCTGATATTTTCTCTAATTTTAATATTATAATCGTATTTCGTAACGTTAATCAGATTGTCTTGCATATATTGTATGATAGTTTCGTATTGTATGATAGTCTTCGTGATACACGAACATATTAATGCGAAAGTCAACCATATGAAATACTTGACACTTGGGACAATCCACAGAAATATATATTCAGTCAATCTACTTATTACTCACTATGCAACTCTTTCTTTTCCACGGTCACCGTCGTCTTTCCAATGAGAGCTTTAATGCGCACAGTTTACTTATTAGAAAGTAACTCTTTGCGTGTTCACACGGATGCAGAAAAGCAGTGTGTGGACTGCGCTTAACGATTTTCTGTGTACATTGAAAGTTGCTTGACAAGCCAAATAATTACCTGCATACTGTTGTAAGCTAGAATAAGCGTTGCTCAGCGAATCCTGAAGTCCGTTTAACGGCGTTCCCGTCAAGGAATTGAGTGTGAGAGATGTTACAGGACTAAGACTGCCTCCGGTAGACCCTTGAAGACGAATACATATTATTTTTTATCTATTTTTAAATTTCGATACGTAAGCCTAATTATTTCTAAGGCATTTCTCGTGCTGCGACATTGTAAGAATGTCAGATGCTCTGAGTTTGTTATTATTATTAAAGGCAGAAAGCAACGTATTTGTGCAATATAATATATTAATTCTTTCAAATATTATTATTCGATGTTTGTATGAAAAAATTTATTTAAAAGAGAAACAAAGTCAATTTTATTCATAGATGTATTCCTTATGATAATCTTCCTTCCTGTCTATTATATTAATTAATTTTAAAAATTGAATTTACAGTTAAAAATTTATAATTTTAATTATAAATAATTACATTTAAAATTAATACAATAACGAAACTTGTAATAATAATGTGTCATACTTTTATTTGAGTCTTAATTAATTAAATTGTTTAAATAAGTGAATAAATATTCATATTTTTAAAGTTATTTTTAAAAACAAGAAATATACAAAAAATGTATATAAATAGTGACCGCAAAATCGGTGAACTTTTATCCTTTCTTTGGTCCTTCTAGTTTAAAATTGAATTGTGTATCAAATGTCTTATGATGAGACATCAATTATAAAAAAATTTCAAGTTGAGACTTGAGAGATAAGAGATAAGAGGAATTAAAGTTTATTAAAGCATTAGCCCACATGCTTTGAAGCATGAATTTTTATATCAGTCCCATATCTTTTAAACCAATAGCTTTAACTTAAAATATTTTTGTGATCGATATCTCATCATAAAGTGTTATTTGACACATAATTCATTTCCAAAATTGCAGGACCAAACACAAGCTATTTTTGCGAATACTCTTTAAAATATGCATGAATAAATAAATTTACAAACGTTTCAATATGACACATAAAATACTTCGTTTGACAGGAACTTAATTAGTTTTAATAGTTTAAATTTTAGGGAGCACAAGAATGTCATATTTCTTCGATAAAAATTCGCTATGTAACAAAATATTAATGATTTAAATATAATTTAAAAGTATAGTACACCTTCATGCACGATAATATATAAAAAATCACGCGCTACTATACCCAAGTTAATTGCGATAAGCGTTTTATAAAAAAGTTCTGCTCTTCTTTTTTATTTTTATGCACAGATATTGTTATCGATTAAATTTTTATTATGGAAAATCGTGCATCCATTAATTGCAATAAGCGTTTGTGCAAGAATCGTATATTCCCAATACATCTCAAATATACACACACACAATAATTTAAATCATATATACATATTGTTAAAACTACAATTAACGATTGATAGAGAATAAAAATCTTCCTAAAAGCACTGACAAAGTCCCGCCAATTAATGTATTAATTCAATATGTGAACATTTTTACAATTCAATGTGCAGTACCAATCAGTTACTAATTGACTCGGTTATTCATATTCGTGAATGAAATATATACATATGTACAGAATGTATTCATAGAACATCGTTGTACGAGTTTTCAACTTACAAAATTTAATAATTTGACGTTCATTACAATTTGTTTTAGCGACTTTAAACATTTCCTTATTATTTAAAAAAATATTTGTCATATAATATCTTTTGAATTAAATTTTAAAATAAAATTCACAATTAAAAATAAGAATTTACCATCTTGTTTCATTTACAAGCATTTTGGCATAAAAATCTATAATTTTCAATTACATGAATCTATTTTAATGCCAAATAAACAGATACGAGATTCCTCATGCATTGAAAAATTTTTTTAGACTTTTATAATTCAAATAACACTATGATGTGTACAAAATTCAAAATATAATATTGTTTGAAGCAAGAGAGGCTCGTACGTTAATAAAATCTACAATCAACAATAATTATCAATATTGAATTACAATGTACAAAAAACAATAATTAAAAATATATAAATAATACGAAATAGAAAGGGAAAACGACGAAAAAGGAATTCGAAAGGAAGATATATAATGTTGCGATATACGATAAAGAATGCGAATCAGCCAAACAATTTCTCTTCCTATGAGTATCTCACCTGTATTTCCTGTTTTTCCCAGAAGAGCAGCTACGCACGAAAAAAAAATACGCAGCGTTAAAATTGAGATATACATTCACATAAAAGAAAATAAAGAAAATAACGTAAAATATACAATTATCATATAATTTGTTATGATCTATTTACTGTGGTATAAAAAAATAATAGAATATTTCTGCCTGCACAAAGATTATATTGTATACAAATTTACATAATAGCATAAATACAAACTTGAGAGTTAAACAGCAAATATCAATTTCTTCGGAAAAATATTATACAATATATGCTCTTATGTAAATTTCTATATTATATATAATATCACTATACAAGTGTCCAACTTTAATCTATCATTCCTTTTCTTTTCATAGGATAAGGTTGAATTAAAAATATGTTTAGACAGAAAGATGTGTGGCTTCGTAAAGCACAAATAATAAAATCAATTTTCAAAAAACTCGATTTTCATGGATATCATTTTTTAAAATGGAATTGTATGATTTGTTTACATAATAATATTTTCATAATTGTTCTACGAATAAAAGTATATTAAGATAGAGATATTAAAAAATTAATAGTTAACGAGATATATATTTTATACTTTATTCTGGCATATTTTGAAATAAAATATAAAATATCTCGTAAACTATTAATTTTTTAATAATCTTAATATTTTTATGCATATAATAATTAAATAAATTAATTGATAAAAAAACATATAATTGCTTTTAAAAAAAATATGCAATTTGCAATATGCAACTAAAGGAAGGAAGAGAGTTATGAAATAATATTTTATTTTATTGAAATAGTTCAGTAGATTATATTCAGGTGATACAATTAGTTTTATACACGTTGTAATCATAGGGCATAAAGTAATACTAATTACAATATATATTTAATTAAATATACAGAAGTTCTTATATATTACAAGTATATTATATATATATTACAAGTATATAAAATTCTTATGCATAGAATAAAATAAAAGGCACGATTAATTATTAAAAAATTAATTAATTTATAGAATGTTTTATATTTCAAAATGTCAAAATGTCAATTCATGTCAAAATGTCAATTCATGTCAAAATGTGTCAGAATAAAATATAAAATATTTTGTGAAGTACTAATTTTTTTTTCTCTATCTTCATAAGCAGAATAATTAAAGAAATCATTATGTAACAAAAAATCATACAGTTTTAAAAAATAGCTATGATCTTTATATGATTATGCTAAATCGATTTTTTCGAAAATCAATTTTATCATTATTTGTGTCCCCTCAAACCATACAACTTCTGTTGGAATATTTTTTATTAGACCTAGTTTATCATGCAAAAATAAAAAAAGATAATAGATTAAAATAGGACACTCTGTACTTTAATTTTTCAATAATTGTATACGTTTAATTCAATTATATTTATTAAATTTATTAAATAAAAAAACGTCATAATAAATATTTAAGATTTTATAGGGTCTAGAGAAAGAAATCATTAGTAACAAATAGATAAGAAACTATTAAAAATTTTTGACAGAAAAATTGATTATTAAAAATATATACGTATATTTGGTTTTTAATATCTGAAAATTTTTTTATGTATTTAGTTCTTTATCGTAATTAGCTATTAATTATAATCTTCAAATTTTAGAGTGAAATCTCATTCTCAAAATTAAGTCACTTTTTTTAAAGACTGGTTCAATTTTCGCTCTTTAGAATAAGATTTCACTCCGATGAATTTAGAAAGTAATTTTATCGAAACGATGCTTCGATATCAGAATAACCTTTAAATTACATTAGAATCATACAAGAGAATCATAATCATACGAGTTTACATCTACCGTGAAAATTGATATGAAGATAGAAATAGAGAATATGAGGAAATATTCGAGAAATGAAGGGAAAGGAAAGGAAAGTGTAAGTACATGCATATGCGCGCATGTGCACGTACACTATTAAATAAGCGAAATGGGAAAATCAGACCATCAATGAGATTAGGGCCCCTTTTGCGTAATCGAAATTAATTTAGTAATTGTTAATACTGTACCAGGCAATACGACACGTACATAGCGACATACCTGCTGTCGAATTCGCCAGACCGCTTAATGCTGAAACATAAAACACGTTCGCGATATTAACAAAAACATCGATAATATGTATACGATATGATCACGAGAAACACTCCGAAGCAGAATTTTTCCGATGATGGTATTGATATATTTTTAACTGCCACTAAACAATTTGTACAGTCAACGGCTTCACTTGTATATAAATTAATATGATGAATTAAATTGCAAGGTGAGTTGGATACGTCTGCAAAAGATATTTATAATCTTTATCTTTTGCTACTATAGTGTAATATTATATACTACACTATAGTAGCAATTAAGTATTTGAATATTTCACTAGATAAAATAGGCAATGCCTATAAAAGCAATTTTAGGTTGCAATAAATTGTGATAAAATTAACATTTATAATTTAGAAAACACAATAAGGTTTAATAATTTTTTAACAATCATATTTTCCATTTTTTATTATAATTTAATGTCTAGTTAATAAATAATTAAATGTCAGTTTGTTTTATTAATTAAAAGATCTTACAGACGATTTACTTTTTTTGACCATATACTATTATTGTGGGAAAAAATTCGTGGCGTTTTTTTAATGTCATCTAACGGGAAAAACGACACGAACTTTTTCCTAATATATACATACATACATACATACATATATATATATATA